AACGGAATGAAAATGTTGCAAAAGAGAATCTCAACCAAATAGTTGTGATCGTATGTGGCGTGCACATTCTGTGAAACCAAACCACTCCCTTTTCTGTTGAATGTCATTCAGGCAGAGTTAGCTACTTTGATGTAATTTAGCATAACCTGATAAGATTGCTCATGATTTCCTAACCCAGAGCGGGAGGAATTTAATTGAAGTTGTAGAGCAATGTCAAAAATTAACGAGCCAGAGAGGCGCTGGTTAGAAACCGGAGACAGTGCCGAACATAAAGCTGCCCTAGAATTCAATAAGAGGGAAAGAGCGGAACTTTAAAAATGAGACTGTAGCAGCATCCTGCTAATCCCTCACTGTCATCTTTATCACTTCATTATGGTCACCAAATTCCTTTTCTACTTCCTCAGATCAAACCGAATCACTCTGCATGTTGGTCAAACAAAGACACAGCACGTTACAGTAGCCTGTGAGAGTTATGCCTTTGATATCCTCGCCTCACCTTATGTTTTATTCTCTTTAGATAAGTTTAGCATCAGAATTACACTTTAATAGTTTCCTACATCTCTTTGCAGCTCGAGGGGGCTCTCTGATACAATGACTGCAGCCGTGTGGGTTTGCTCTTTGACCACAGCTGAGCTTGTCCTTGTCAAGGCTTTAATCGCCTCGGGGTAGCAGTTTCCCTGGAAGCCAGCCAGCAACGAACAAGATGGTGTGATTATATGGTGGTCTTAAGGAGTGAGGTGCAGACTGATCAATAATGCATTCATTAGGCATTTAACTGACAGCATAGGCATTTGTTTATTAATAGGCTTTCGGGGTGTTAAGCAGGCGAAGCTGCAAACTAAAGAGTTGCCTCTAGAATCGGACCTCCTGCTGATGCGAAAGGTTTTGTTTTCCATATTATGAGTGAATGCAGCCACCCACCTCTTTAACCCGTTGACTTTCTGGTGAGGTGGAGAAACTGATCCGACGGAGGTCAAGAAGGCAACGTTTGCTTTTTATGCTTCCTTCGCAGAATGTTCCCGTTTAATCGTTGCACGCTCACTGCTGGGATTAAAAGATTTGTACTCCTCAAGACAGCACTTTTAGCAAGCAGCGACAAAGGAGGGACATCGTGGATGAAATCTATCTCAAATTAATTGAATGAGTCAGTTTTACAATGTTTTCTTGTTTCCTAAATGTAAAATACCTCTTTGATTCATGTAGTGTTTTTTTAAGGTTGTTTTGTCAGCCTCATCCAGACAAACTTTGTGAGGAAACCTATCCATTATTTTTGTTTTGGTTTAAACACATGGAACACTGAAAAAAATATTTTATAATGATTGTTTCATATTATTATCAGTCTCTATGAGTTTTTCATGCAGGCTGAACATGAAAATATTCTCCTACACCTATCTCCTGCATTAGCTTCTGAAAGAATTTAGACGGTGAAACTCTAGGATTAGAAAATCCTGGCAGATCTACGTCGCACTGTCACTTAACATTCATGGAATCACCCATCTTGACTCACAACGGGGAAGACTGTTGTTGGTTGAGTGTCCAGGAAATAGTAGAATGTCTCGGCTAGTAGGAGTTTACCATTAGCATTAGCAACTCTACCACACAGCAGAACGCCTCCAGGCTTGAGTTATTTGTGGAGATAAAACATCAGTGTAGTCACGTTAACCAAGGCGAGATGTCCAAACATCAGGAAATAAGACTCCAAATTCTGCCGTCTGTAGCTCAGCTATGATGTAGCTCACTTCCTGAAAATGGTGCACCAGTGTTTTTCTTCCCCAGAGAACGACTTACAAGGCATTCCCTCCTATAGACCTCACTGGAAGTGTACTGATTCAATGAGTGTTCCACACCTTTAAATTACCTGGGATTTGCTTTGCAATTTAAACATTAACCTGAAGGCTGCATGTAGACATATAGAGCATCTTGGCTCCTTTGTGCAACTGTTTCAGTTAGTTTTTCAAAATAAAAGTGAGGATGAGCAAAAACAAGAACACGTTTTGAATATGTCATGAAGATGAATGACATCAAACTCCCCCAGAGTCTGTGCATTCATTTAATCCAGAAAGCAAAAGAAGACCTGCAAAATTGATATAAATTACAAAACAAAAATATGCACAATTCACTTTGAATAGAGTTGTTTACATGCTGATTAAATTAAAAGTCTAAAATGCTTCAAGAGTCCCTCACCCCTCCTTTTTTTGACTGCTGGCTGCTGTTTTCCTTTTTGTCACATGGCATCACATCAGCACTCGCATTAGCTCCGATGAGAGGCGGCCAAATGAATCTGGGGATGTTGAGACCATGAAAAATCACCACACAAACACACACAAGTGGATGGCTTCTGACTAAATTAACACATTATGTTTAAATATGGTATTTTCTCTTCCTTTGCCAGTTTAAATTTCTCTTTTTTCAGAGTAGATTTTTCTGAAGGCGTTGACAATGAGTTGAACTTTGATCTGTTTCTCTTTAATTAGAGCTTGAAGTTTCCAGCGAGGGGTCTTTTTTATTTCTTTGACCTTTGATCTGTCGTAAGTCATTACCTTAATATGTTACCAGCCTATGAAGAGAATGTGGGGAACTCATTTTCTAACTAATAAGCATGATTATTACAGTTGTGCATGAAGAAGTGTGAGGAACTCACTAATGACACGAGCTCCTAATATCTTCAGAGGCTCTACAGGAGTTTTAGGTGACTCCTGCATGACTCTTGCCTTGTCCAGTGCTCAAAATACCTTTCACTGAGTTGGCTTTTAAAGCCACATCATAAAATAAAATGCTGCAAACAAAACGGCCTTCTCCTCGCTGCAGAAAACAGAAACAGGTTCTAAAAAGACCTATTTTACGAGAAATTTCAATAGGCTGCAGCTTGACTGGACAAAAAGAAAGGTAAAAATTTTAATAACATTACATTGCAATCGCCAATTAGCTTCATTGTTCCCTGTTCTGATAACACCTCTGCATAATGAGTAAGATTAGCCTTTTATCTAGATGAAAGACTCAATTTTCCAACAGATTCCTTAGACATGAGTTAGGCAGGGTGATTCATGAATTTCAATTAAAATGAAAGACCTACCTTCTACTTTATTAGGCCTTCCCTTCAGTACACCAGTTCAGATCTCAGGAGAAGGGGTGCGCTTTATCCTTTCCTCCCATAGTCAAAACTTAATTTCCATATTTCTTTTTTTTTCTAAAGGATGTGACACATTTGCATGTCCCTGTTCCCGCTGATCAGAATTTGCTGATTGAAACTAAATGAAATCAACTCATCATGGTGACATTGAATTTGTCTCCTCTTCCCTTTGAATACTCGGCATGCTGTGGACTCATTGATTACAGGTAGTCGATCTCGCCACTTCCGTCAGCACAAATGTTGGAGCTTTTCCTCCTTTTCTAGTTTTTTTTTTTTAAACTTTTGCCGGCTTACTCTAATTAGACAATTTTTCCGGCAGAGTACTGCCGCTCAGAAATCCGTCCTGAATTATCTTCCTATCTCAGTTTTAGCTCGTTTTTTCTGCTGGGGTAGCATTTCAGCAATTACCCACGGCCAGTAGTTGTTTGGGACACACTGCACATTCTGCTTCCCTTCTGCATCTCACTCTCTGATGGTGGATCCTAATCGAAACCTGATTGAGTGATAATCTGTGTTGGCTCTGTCCAGGCCTGCAGGAAGCCCTTGCAGACCTCTCTGACTGAAACGTGGGTGCCATTGTGTTGCATACTTCAGACTTTCTTTTGTCAGGAAGAAAAATCTTTTGGCTGCTGCCCTCCAGCTGAGACACAACACAATAAATAAAGCTGGCCCACAGCGTTAAAACCATGCCCTTCATGACTTATCTGAACTGGCTGGATGGTGATGGTTGGAAGACATCCTTCATTGAAGGCAAGGATGATTAGGATGAGGGCAGCAGTAGCTCAACAGGTTGAGTGGGTTGTCCAGTAATTGGAAGGTTGCAGGTTTGATCCTAGCTCCGGACAGAGAATTCTGCTGTTGTGTCCTTGGGCAAGACACTTAACCCACGTTGCCTGCTGGTGGTGGTCGGAGGGACCTGTGGCGCCTGTGCTCGGCAGCCTCGCCTCTGTCAGTGCGCCCCAGGGCAGTTGTGGCTCATCACCACCAGTGTGTGAATGTGTGTGTGAGTGGATGACTGATACACTGTAGTGCAAAGCGCTTTGGAGTCCTTACTCTGAGAGGCGCTATACAAGTGCGGGTCATTTATGCTTTAATTTGCCTCAGACTTGAAAGTCAACAAGTAATACCCAGTGTTCAAGCTTGACGAGAATGCTTTGAGTAGATTTTTGTGGCAGCGCTTTATAGTGTTGGTTTAATTTGAGGTATTTTTGTGTAAATGAAGATGGTTTCCAAATCCAGGGGCTTCATCCTTGCTAGCATGCATTTTGAGGTGGATTGTGTTGCAGAGAAGCACCATGGCTATCCTAACTTGAAAGATACTCAAAATGCCTCCCCAAATTCATCGTTTTTCCCAGATTTTTGAGGATGGGCCTGTTGTATACTCACAGGCAAAGGCTATCCCAGGATTCATAACGGATTGGAGAGTTTTGTTCTTGTAATAATAGCAAACAAAGCAGGATAGGATTACACTTGAAATCAACCAGTAAAAAAAATTAAAAGCTTAAAGCAGATTGACAGAGAAAAAGTGGTTTCCGTTGACATTACCGCTTAAAAACCATAACTGCCTTTTTAAGTAAAACACCTGTTGCTTCATTAAATGCAAGTGTTATCCTGTGCCAGTCCTCCCGTCTCAACAGGGAGGACAACGACCTTCCTCAGATCATGCTGTTCTGTGTTATGCTTGGTTTATGCTTGACGCATTCACTTTCCGCGCGGTGATGCGGCTCGCGGATGGAACGCGCTTCACAACTCGCAGTGTTTATGGTTCGTGCGGCTCGTCTCTGCGGTGAGCCAATATTCTCCCAAACTGTAGGGGCAGCATGGAGCTCTACGGCATGCATCCAACACTACACCATAGTAGAAGTAGAAATTACTGTTTACAACATGGCATTCCAGCATTTTTAACAGCGTTCTCGTCTTTTCCGACAGTGCGAGCCATTTCTCTCCAAGAATTATTAACAACATGTTGATCACGGTGATCTCTGAGAGCTGAATCATACAAATGTCTGTATTTACGAACCTCTGCCATACTAGTTCTTGCCGGTCCGCCATGTTTTTCCGCGTCCGTCCGTCCGTCCGCGTGGTTAGAAATTTTCCGAGGTGCGCGTTGCGGAAATTCTGGGCCGTGCGGAGGCGCGGTGGAGGGGCGTGGTTGTTAAAATGATGCAACTTTTCCGCGCGGAGCCGTGCGGACCTCGCGGACGCGTCAAGCATAAACCAACCTTAATACTCCCATGGGAAACAGAATGTTGACTGAATGCACCTGGTTTCGTATGAGGGAGATGTGGCTTGTTTTGTTTGTGTGTGCTTGGTATCCTAGGAGATGAGCCTGTAACTCTGTAACACGAGAAGGCCCCGCCTTCTTCGTCCTGTTTTTCAATAAAACTTACTGTGGGACAGAGAGGGGCAGAGAAGTATGGCGGAGACCCGGAGGGGTGTTGCCATTTCTTCCCTCCGCTGCTCTGGCCACACAGCGTAAAAGGACCTCCCTCCTCTGTGTGTGTGTTCATTTCAGGTTTAAGGGTTAAGGCATTTAAGAATAACCCAACACAGTTGTGTTACCTTTTTGTTTGAATATTTTTAATAAAGTTTTTGCCAACAATCCCGCGTATAGAGCTCCGGGAGTTGACGTCACTTCTCCCGGCATGCAACAGTTCAAATCGAAATGGCGCCATATTGGCATGCAGAAGCCGGCAGCTGGACTATTTGTTATTGTCAGAAAACTCAATCAAACGGGAATTATGGTAGATTCCTGTTGTGCCCCAGGATGCAGAACAGATGCGGACGACATAAGGAATGAGCCATCCACAGGATTCCCCAAGATCCGGAATGCCGCAAACATTGGATCATTGTAAAACGCGCTAGTGACCGGGCTGAAATGAAGCTGTGGGATACCGAGAGTAAAGGTTTTCGCTTATTCAGCGACCACTTCATATCAGGTACTTAAACCAACGTTTCCTCAACTGTGTATGGTATTTATTTTAAATGCTTTTATTACGATTCTTAGTGGGCTTCCTAAGCTTATTTTAGCGTGGCTTTTTTCTGTCTTATTACTCATAGCAACAAGTAAGCATCACGTAAAACGTTGCCTCGTGAGTTCTGCGTGCTGCCTTTTACGTGTTTTAGGATCACAGCAATTAACCGGCTAAGCTGTATTTAATTTTTAAGCAATGGTTGATCAAGTGTCAGATCACACATAAAAAGCACTTTGGATTGTTATTATCTGTCTCACCGAGACAGATCTCAGACAGATCCTGAGACGCTCCTGCCTGACATATTTATTTTATTCACGGAAAAAAAAATCAAACTAGTGTTTTCTCTTGGCGTTCAGTTTATACATTCAAACAGCACAGCACTCTGTTTAAACTACTTACGTGTAAATCTGTTATTTGTCCATCCATTTTCATCTGCTTATCTGGAGTCGGGTTGCGGGGGCAGTAGCTCCGGGGGAATCCCAAGGGGTTCCCAGGCCAGGTCCGGTAAGAAGTCCGCTCTGACAGCTTCTGGCGTTTTTAAAAAGTATCCCAGGGGCACGGTAAGAGTCGGGGGTGTTTAGTCTATTTAATTTCTGACTATATAAAACGATTTCTTCGGTTTTAAAGTGTGAAGTAAACTCCGACGAAGTAAAATCCAAGCTGATCCCGTTCATGTTCATGTTTAAGATCCGTGTTTGTTTACCGTTTTTGACTGCCAATATGGCGTCTACTAACTGAGAGTCACGTGGGGTCCGGAGCTTTGTAGTCAGCGTAAACAATCTCATGCACAAGTCCCACATTTCCTCATGTATCGCAGCTAAGTTCAGTTTTTTACTTTTGTTTAGTGCTGTCATGGTTGCTAGGCAACAGGACAGATGCTAAGTAGGGGCTTGAATGAATTTAAAGGCTAGACCACCCAAGTTTCAGTCATCGAGGAAAGGCACGAGTCCTTAGGATGCTACTCCTGAATTTAGACACACCTGAAGACATCTCTCTTAGCTGCACCATGTCATAGGGACATCTTTGCAAATGTCAAATAAAAAGACAGTTTTACTGTGTTTCAGTGTGGACAAGGTCCTAATGCTTACCGAAATTTTGTTCATGGGCCAATCCATCATGGACCTATCAGGCGTTATCACGCGTTTTGGAATCTGCTGCATTCTAATACTCCCCTGAAGACCCTGCAATACCCTAGTAAGACCATCAACATGCTATCTGATTTGTTTATGTCACTACGAGGTCTTCATCCTATGAAAGGAGCCTAAAGGACAAAACAAGCACAATTCGGAGGAAGTGTTAGATGAGGTTGGATCAGTTAAGGGGACTGACTGTCTGCTCTGCTGCCCTTGGATTGTGCATCATCCCTCTACAGGCCATGCTGGTGGACTCCTGATTCCCATCAGGCTTTGTTTCTCTCTCTGAATTTGCCATCCTGTTTCCTTCCTCAGATAAGAGCCTGTTTGTCTCAACTCTTCGGCCAGATGACCTTGGCTGACAAATATTTATCCATGCTAAAACATCTGTTTTGTTATACTCCCTTTTTCTGCTGTGTCACAGCAAAACAAGAAGAAGAAGGGGAAAAAAACTTAACTAAAAAACTAAAAAAAAAAAGGTTCAATCCCTGTGAGAGCTCTTCCAGGAATACTAATACTGACTTGATCAATTTGGTGTTGTGTTGCTCAGTATAAATGATCAAGAAAGCTGCACACTTAGTAAACACTGCAGTGTACTCGCAACGTTAAAGCCTTACTATATGGCAGAGCATTAGAGATGATTTAAAGCTTGTTCCGTTGAAGCTCAGCCTACTGATTACAACTTGTTGTGGAAACCAAAGTTCTACGTTAAATCAAGGTGTTAACTAAAAACAGAAAGAATTCATTGAGCTCTGGTGTCAAATGTTGGAAACAAATGGTGAATATGAGTGCTAAAGTGAAAATTTAGTTCCCAATCAAATATATTGAGTGTTCTGTTTCATGGCCCATTTTCATCCAGCTGTCATCTTGGTAGTTTTAATTATGCTGTTTGTTGGTGGTGTATCGATCCAGTTTATGCCCTGCTTGTCCTCATGTGTGTGTTGCACTGATGAGAGTATGTCTGTGTGTCCCAGCTCTGTGTACAGAGGAGTGTGTGCATGGCCGCTGCGTGTCCCCTGATACATGCCAGTGCGAGCCTGGTTGGGGAGGCCTGGACTGCTCCAGTGGTGAGTGCACTTTACCTCCAAACTTAAACCTTAGCCTGTTACACTCATTTATTCCTGATGTGTGTTCACAGCCAGTAGGTCCATAAGATCTTGCTGTGAATCTGTTTTGCCTCTATGTCCGTCTATCTCAAAGCTGCTCAGCTTTGTATCCTCTTTTCTTAGCAAACACAGCCAATGGAGCAGGTAAGTCACAATGAATTCATTTTCATTTGCTGGAAGTGGAAGTGATTTGCTTGATGAATCTAGCGGATGGATGGATGGTTGCTTCCCTCTTGTGTCTTTCTAACTCTTTGTTTTGGTCTTAATCATGATTAGACTGTGATTTGCTCAGTGAAATGATGGATCCGGGCCAGGCTGAAACAAATCGTTGTGCCGGTCCCTGTTTTCTGGGCTTACTTTCACCTCCCATGTCTGGATCGGAGAGTGGAGTCGGGCATGTCCATCCTGCAATCAGCTAAATGCTACATGGAGCCTCATTCAGGTCGGGAAGGAACAGATAATCTATAAACTCCTTTGTGATCAAGAAAGAAAGAAAAAGCAATACAAAGACCGCGTTTTCTTCAGGACAGAAACCTACAGAGAAATCTTTCACCACTTTGTGACCTTTAAGTCGTAACTTCAACAGTTGGCCTCTCCTTGGAGCCACCCACCGACCCCGCCCTGGTGTTTAAAAGCCACTCCCTGTTGCATAATTTGAAATGAGTAATCGCAGCTAAAATCATATCAGCACAGTTCCTGTATAGATCTATGACTTTTCATTAGCAAGAGAGCCATTCGCTGATTAGCAACTGTGTGTAAATCAGTCGCTTTCACTGTAGCCGCGGCTGATTTCAGGTGGCTCCATCGGCGTGAATGACAACCATGATGCTGCTGCTGCTGCTCCCTCTTAGAGACTGCTGAGAGTCCAGCAGGGAGGATTAGAGGTTTGTGGACCTCGGGGGACTCATGCCCCTACTCTTGGTTAGTTAGGAGTGCAACCATGTGTGCTTTTTAGCCTGCAGGTGCTTAGCTAATCCACCTCGTTGAAGCAGACTTGATGATTGAGACAGAGGCATTATTCATAACTTCAGATTTCCATACCAGGCATGATTCCAGCCTTTTTCATTTATGAGCCTTCATCTGTAGAAATTAGGAATGTGTGCCAATTTTTAAATTAAATCTGCCCTCTTTTTCCTTCATGTAAATGGTTCAGCATGTTTTTTTTTTGTCTGCCACTGTAACTGTAAATTACAATTCCACCCAGCGCTGGTGGGAAGTGTGGTTTTCTGAAAGATTTTTACATAAGACGATGTTGCTGAGAAGTCCAAATGAACAACACAATCAGTGTCGTGATTTTATTTTATACTTCTATTGTTTTTGAGTTGTGTTGGCTCATAAAGACAGCTCTATGCTCCACTCAAATGGGAAGAATCATCTGGTCACGTGACCAAGGATGTGTGAATGTGATAACATATAAAAGTATGTCGCCCATACTTGGAGATGAAGAGCTCCGTGGGATGCTCTACGGCCTAAAGCTGAAGTGACAGCCTTTCAGCAGTGATCTGGAACTGGATCAAAGACTTGGACGTAGTTTCTGGAGCAGCACCCACCAGGAAGCAGTTTTGTATTTGGGTCAGGTGGTGAAAATAAAGACTTGGGCAGCCGTTTGTAGCCAGAGAAAAGAGGAGGCGAGCAGGTCGGAGCGGTTCATTAAATTCCATTGGTCAGAAGCAGATTAGATTTTCTCGTCCTGTTGTCTTCCTGCTATAGTCAGAAGATATTTCATTCATTTTTCTCCTTCGTCGGTGACCTGACTTGCCCCATGACCTTCCTGGAGCCCTGAGGTGTCTTGGCGTCCTCCCCGTAGGACGTGCTGTTGGGAGAATAAACAGGAAAACAGGATGTTTGCAGATGCAGCCTTGTTCTACCTCTGTTAATGAGAAATTGGAGCACTTTGAGAAGAGGCTATGTTTTCTCCAAAGATTGATGAAAGATTCATTGCTGTTGTTGGTGATTATGATCACTCTGATGTATGTGTGTTGTGTTTGCTGAACGTACTCTTGAACGGGCATCTCTAATGATTTGTTATGACTTTAATGTTTTGATTTTTACTTAACAGGTGGGCCAAAAAAGAGCTATGCACCTGTTGTGTTTTTTTTTCTTGTTAGCCTTTTTCTCTTTTTTTCTAAAATGCATTGTTTGTCTCTTTGTGCCTTTGTATATACGCTGTTTGGATGTCGTCGCCCCCCCCCCCCCCCCCCCCCCTACAATACTCAAGTGAAAATTTACCATTTGATAAAGGGGAAGGGAAAAAAAGCATTTTCCCTAATAATCCAGGAATGTTAGTGATTTTAGCTCAGGCTCTTCGGTTAAATGGAGCTCTGTTTATGGGACTGAACAGCGTGTCTAAAGTCATTTTAGTCAGCTAATGTAAAGTGCTGGTTCTGAGGATTTAATAATAATATTAGTTGATGTCTGAGGTAAATATAGAATGTGTTGGTGTAAAAGAACCACACAGAATGGGGCTGAAATCAAATCTTTGTATGACATTATGACTTTATCGAATGGAAACTGCATGAGTTTTTTCCAGAGTCTTATGAGTTTCTTGGATTTTAAAGCAGACTTTTCGTTTCTGCAGCTGCAGAGAAAACTCAGAACCCTGTTTACTTCACTGCACTCTGCTTTTCAACCCATGAAGATTTAATTATTGTGATGAGTCTGTTACACAAGGTCACTGCAGTAATAACGGTTTTCAAATAAAGAGAACAATAAAGATGGATGTTGTACGCACGAGGCGTATTTAGCCACCGACTGCAAACGTTTAAAACAAATACTGCATTAATTTTCAATGCTTGAGTCACACCAAAGGTGCTATTGTGGTATTTTAAACCTTTCAGAGCAAGGTTAGGCCCATATGCCATGAAAATATTACCAGTTGCGCACATACATCATTTTTTCTGTTATTAAGTTATTTTCTTGAGGCATTTTATCAACCTGGAAATCAGATGCTTGGATTCCACGAAGTCCCGCCTCCACCCAATTCATAACGCAACCCTTTGCAGCAACGTGCACGCCGAATGCAACCCGCCACCCATTTTTCGTCGTAAAAGACATTCACACACAAACGCACACATCACTCAGATGGAATAAAGGCAGCTGGGATGAATCGTTGTCCTGGTCCCTCCCTGAAGCTTGCCCACCAAACAAGCTAGCAGCTAGTGGTTAGCATTTCGGTTTTATTCACCTCTCTGGGCTCTCCATCAGGTGGTTTTAAAGTTTGAATTGCACCAGTTTAAAGAGCAAGTCACCCCCTACCAGAATATTACTCCACTTCCTGTTTGAAAAATGCAACAAATGCTGTTGCCTAGCAGACCAAGAGATTGGAGCTGCTAACAAATACACACACACACACACACACACACACACACACACACACACACACACACACACACACACACACACACACACACACGCACGCACGCACGCACGCACACACACACACACACACACACACACACACACGCGCGCACACACACACAGGCTCTCAACGACATTGTGACATCATATCGTACCAGCTAACGTCTTCACCAAAAGCGATGGCCAATTTTAAATTCAACTGCAGTGCAGTTTTTACCTGACAACGGCACAACACTGACAGTTTTAGGCAGAAAATTTAAATTATAACTAAACTGCACAAGTGCAAAACTTTTGACTATGCGTGTCTGCAGCACGATTAGACACACATTTGTTTAGTTTATCAGAAAAATAAAGCTGATTTGGGGGTGAGTTGCTCTTTAAAGAAGTAATCTGTTAAAAAACAGTACAAGCAGTCTGTGAAATCACAATCACAAAAATTAACTTGTTCAATTTTGAGAGCTTTTGAAGATTTTGTAGATTCAACTCTTCTTCAGGATGACAGGGATCCTGTTGCTCTGCCAGACAAAAATTCATTGTGGGGTGGTAGGCCTTATGTAAAGAGCTGACTAGATAAGAAACAAAAGTCCTTGGTAGCTACGATAGAGTTTAGTGAGTAGTTTAGGGGAGGAGGGGTCCAGATTCAACACTCCCTGGATTGGGAGAAGCGTAGCATTATGACGTAAATCTGGCCCCGTCCAGCTGATTGCAATAGGTAGGCAGCGACTTGTAGCTGAGATAGTAAAATACATGCACAATGCCAAAAATCTACTTTAGGGGTGTTTTTGAGGAGCAAATAATAATATAAAATTGTCAAAAGCTCTAAAAAGTAGATTTCACATGATATAGTCCTTTTCAAATGTTTTCATGGTGCCAGGCAAGAAACTCTCCTAAATGTGAAGCATCTAGTTTTTTAAATTATATAAATTTTTCCTGTATTGTGATGGAAATGTTTTCCCACCAGTGAAGAAATTATGAAAATCAGTGTTGAAGATAATCACCTGAAAAGCCTGAGGAACAGTGGAGCTTTGTTTGCCACAGCTTTGTGTTCTTGAAAGAAATCTATCATATTTAATGGGTATGAATCTGTGGAGGTCAGACAGCCGTAGACCGTGAGGTAACACAGTCCTGCTGCTCATATTCAAATGCAAACACTGTTGCTGCTGTGGCTGCTCTGCACATGATTAATTGATAAATGTGCCCTAAGAATGTTTTAAAGGTTGATTGCATCTGACGAGATACAACATTCTTCTTGTTTTATGTTGATTAAAAAGTAACATTTTAATTTATTTTCAAGATTTAAGAAATTTCATTTAAAAATGAGGGTTCAGATCACAAATTTGCAAGGACAAAAAAAGAATGTCCTCGGTTGCTCATCTGACATTTTTTAACCAGTAAAAACACAACAGGAACAAGTAACAAGACCATAACAGCTGTTAAGCCTAAGTTTAGCTCGAAAACATCCCCGGAGGACTCCCACTGGAGTCTGTCAGCAGTATTTACACACTTTTCCCAACGGTTTGTCCAAATCAGAGGCTTCTTTTCCAGCAGACAAGAATCGCTGTCAAAGAGCAAGAGCCTAAATTTCATTGAATGTGACAGAGATGCACACAGATATACTTTTCATTGACACATCAGTCTAAATGTCACTTAACTTTGCTCTCAGAACTTCTCTCATCATCAATCTTACAGACAGAGAATACACACTAATGTGTTTGTGTGTGTGTGTGTGTGTGTGTGTGTGTGTGTGTGTGTGTGTGTGTGTGTGTGTGTGTGTGTGTGTGTGTGTG